AGGCCTCGCCTCAAGACTCAGTCTCCACCCGATAGCCCGCCTCGGATCCCCAAGGGTCAGCCCAAAGGCCTCGTCCCCGACCCGCGGCCGCCTCTCCCAGATGGACGCCCGCCCTTTAGGCCCTTCCCTTTACCCTTTAGGCCCGCCCCCCAACATTTCGGCCGCATTTTAGGGTCCACGACCGGTTCCCAAACCCCTCCCTCTAACACTCGGCCTCTACTCGAGACCGAGTTTCCGCCCCTGAGCCCTTGGCCGCTTCGAGACTCCGAGGATGCAGCGCTATCCACTTAGCCCCGCCCCCATGGAGCGACACCCGGGCCCCGCCCTCTATTCAATCAGCCCCGCCCCCTCGCTCTTTGCTTTTCCGAACCCGCGATCCCGCTTTAGAAGGCCCTCACAGAGGTGGATTGACACGTGGCTGCAAAAATAGGCTGAAGCATAGGAACAATCGTGAAGATGGCGCAGGGCCCGGTGGTGTTGCATTCTTTTTTTTTTTGATGATTCCATCAATTTCTTTTTTTTTTTTTTAATCAATTTATTGGGGCTCATACAATTCATCACAATACATAGATCAATTGTGCAAAGCACATCTATACATTTGTTGGGTGTTGCATTCTTTACAGATTCGACGGTATCTAACAACAGCCTAGACTCTGACCCCGAGCTGCTACTTGGGTTCCCAAGCCCCGCTCCGCCGCCGCCTCACCCCGTCCGACCCCGAGGCCCCGCCTCGAAAGTTCCCCTCCCCACACCGTGGCTGCCTTTCTGAGCCTGAGACCTCGCCCACCAGTCCTTCAGCCCCGCCCCCAGCACCTTCGCCGGCCCTGGCTCGCACTTCCTGGTCCAACGGGTGGGGCCGGGCTCTGTGGGCGGGGCCTCAGGGGTGTGTCCTCCAGCCCACGCGGAGGCCGGGCCGCGCCCCCGCCCGCCTGCACCTGCCTGGGGCTGGCAGCGACAGCGTCGTTATATGAACCGTGGTAGGGCATGGAGTTGGTTCTCAGCTATGCAGCTCGGCGAGCCGCAACTGCTGGACGCGCTGGGCGTCCTGCTGGGCGTCTCTGCCTGCTTTACCTTCGTGATACTGCAGAAGTTGGAAACATCTTATGGCCGCTACTGGTCACCGAGAATCCGCTGGTGGCTGCCCGCGCGGCTAGCCTGGGGGCTGCAGGAGATGCCCTCGCTGCTGCTGCCGCTGCTAGAGTGGGTCCGGTTCGGAGACCAGCTGCGCCCGCCCAACGCCCTGCTGATGGCCATGTTCACCATCCACTACACGCAACGGTAAAGGCCGCCCGGACCCAACACCCAGCTCCCTGCCCATCAGGGCTCCAGCTGGCCCCTGATCACCTGCCCACCTCTGCCCGGCAACCAGCCAGCCCCAGATCACGGTCGCAACAGACCCCCACACCCTAGTTCCTGCACTTGCCAACCCAGCACTCCACCGACCTGCACTGGGGTCTGTGCCTTGAAGTGCATGGTCACCCTGCAGATCTCACTGCCCTCCTGCCCTGCTGATCAGGACTCTGGTTTAATGCCCTGCACCCAGCACCATGTCCCAGCCAAAGGCACCTGCACCCTTACCCACACCCATCACTCACTGCCCTGCTCCATCCCCACAGCCCCATAACCCCTTCCCTGTTTCTGAGACCCCCAGTTTCCCCTCCTGTCCCCTGTCCCTCTGAAACCCTTCCCTGCAGTTTCCCTAGACTACTCCCATCCCATACCCTCTTCCAATGCATGTCCTTCACCCGCCAGCCCCACCCTCTTGTCCTCTCTGAGCCTGTCTGTCCCCCTTTGAGGGTCCCCTGTGGTCTCTCCTGTAGCCCCTGGCATACCAGAGCTAAGGGGTGGGGGGTGATAGTTTGATGCTTCCAAAATGTCTGCCATTATTGCCTCCTGCACCCCAATCCTCCCCCTCCCCACCCCCTTCCCCCAGACTAGAACTCGCCCCTGGGGTCTCCTGAGGCTGTCATCCTCAGGTGCATATGGGCCCCAGGCCCCTGGGTGGCAGTGAGTTTGGTGTTTGGGGTTCCATCTCTGGGGAGCAGGTGGCCGGGTGTCTGCTCCCATGAGGGAGAAACCCTTGGGTCAGCAGCCCAGCGCTGACCTGCCACAGCACCACGGCTCCTCTGGGTAGAACTGAATGACACACAAGTCATGTTGCCTTTTCTTTAAATCCACGGTGGACAGAGTGTCCCTACAATGGGCCCGAGGTCGCTCCGCTGTCCTGGGCTGTATCTTTACCTTAAAATCCAGTTATCTTACTTGGGTCTGTGGCGTCTTTCCACATAACCTGATGATCCAGTTCTGACCGGCAGCTGCCCGCTGGACAGCTTTTTTTGCATGTGTGCTTGGGGTGGAGGGTGGGGATGGTGTTTCTTCAGCGAAACCTGAAACCCTGATGTTGCTAAGCAGCCTTCCTGTGGTCTCCATGAAGGTCTTGAGAAATGGCTTTGGGGGCTTCCACTGCCCGGAACCCCAGGTCAGGGCCCCCGCTCTGTCACAGGGACAACAGATGGCTTGACAATGTGCCTGAGGACTGGAATCCTGAGCCCCTGGGCTGGGGAAGGCTACGGTCACAGCGGGAGCCCCCAATCCTTCCTGAGTCTCCCACCTGGACATGGCCTCCATCAAGTTCCTGCTGACCAATGCTGAGTGGGGTTGCTGGCACTCACCCTGCCAGCCAGCCCCTCAGGGAGCTTGTGAGGTGTGCCCTTGATGAATTCAGGACACCGGCTGGCATGGTCATGAGGGATGCCAGATGGCCAGAGGGCTTCAGGACCAATCCTGTCACCCTTTCTAGTCTGCAGTCGTGCGCACACCCGGACTGCAGTCCCTTCCCGTTCCCATGGTGCCACCAATGCTTGCTGCCTTTCCTGATTCTCTGGCAGTTTTCTGAGGTAGCCGCAGGGCTGTGAGACCCTTGAACACCATTTTGGCCTCAAGCTGATAGGCTCCCTCATCTGGATGGTTCTGTCTTGTCTTTGTCCTGTGAAGACTTGGTGAAGGGCATCTCTGTAAGATGTTTGAATTTGGGTAGCATCATGAGTTACGTATGCATGGGGCTGCTAAGGCAACGTCAGCAGGTTAAAAGCACCAGCTGCCCCAGGGGGGACAAGCTAGGTTTTCTGCTCCAGTGAAGAGTTACCGTCTCAGAAACCCTCAAGGACAGTTCTACCCAATCCAACAGAGTCACTGTGAATCGGAATCAACTTGGTGGCAGTGAGTTTGGTTTAAGAACAAAAGTCACCCATTAGAAGTTCAAGCCCTTTGATCAAGTTCCCAACAGCTAGCACGTAGGAGAGGCATTTCTACACGTCCCAGGATCTAGGTGGGTTGCCTAACATGCTCAGTGATGCATGTGTGTGTGTTACTTAACCTCTTTGATCATGCCCCTTCAAACACTTGCTTCACAGACAGGTGGGAAGAATTGTGTGTGTTTGTGGTCTGATGGTCCAGTGGGGAGACGGCCCCTCAAGGACAGGTTGTATCTCTGGTGTCCCGAGCACTGCCTGAGACAGGTAGCATTCTCTGTGCTGTGCCGGGACCCCAGGCTGGACCGGGCTCTATCTGTAATCCACCCAACCCCACACATACACATACCGTACATAGATCACCACACACACCTTTACACGGGAGATTGATGGAGTGCCAAGTCCCACACTCCACAAACGTGCTCCCAGAGGAAGGAGTTGCCATCAGCCTCGCAGAACCCAGCTCAAGGGCCTGCCTGGCACGTTGTGGTTGACTGACTAATCGATCAACGGACTATCAGTCCTGCGCCCTCCCTATGCCAGAGCCCCTGTCTGTCAGTCTATTTGTGTATCTGTCTATCTCTCTAGCTAGCTAAAAGCAAGCTCTGGAGATAGACCCTGAAGCTCTTCCAGCCCCAGCCCAAACCCTCGTGCGGTGGGGTGGGGAGGGTCTGGGCTACTAAGCTGCCTCCCACCAAAGTTTTCACGCTGGGAGAATTGGCAGAAGGCTGGAGCTGCCAATGGGGCCAGCGTGGGCATTGAATGAGCAGAGTCCTAAGATGTTGGTGCCCTGCAGGGGCTCAGGCCCAACCCCTGGGAAGGTGCGGCCCGCTGATGGACTTAGAACCCCAAACCAAGCCCATGCCCAGTGAGCTCCTCTGACTCATAGCGAACCTCACCTAGTGGCCTTCATTCCTTGCTCCGAGAGAGTTGGCCGTTTGCACTGTTGTGTTTGAGCCAGGGCACCGAGCCAGTGGCGTGACTGGGGAGCATGGGTGGGTGGGGGCACATCCATCGCCCTGTCCAAGGATGATTCTGAGATAGCGCTGGCCATGCCCCATCCAGAAGGCCCACCGTGGGTGGCACCAGCCCTAGGGACGCTGCTGCAGGAAAGAGAAACTGTTTCCATTCTACCCAAGCCACTGATTTATTAAAGAGTCATCCGACCCGCAGCAGTAAGTGCCTCTGTGCTCCCCGTGGGTGGGCCAGCTGGCCAGCAGTACGGGCAGGGCTCCTGCAGCAGCACCAGAGAGCGACTCCCCGAGGTGGCAGGTAGCCCCCAAGGTGGGAGCAGAGCATGCAGTTTGGGCCAGGGAAGGCAGCCGTGCCTGCAGCTCTTGGAGCCTCCGGGGGCCACAGCCAGATGGAGGGGGTGCCAGCAGGGTGGGATAAGGACGGAGCAAGAACACCGTGCTTGTTCTCCTGAAAGTGTGGCAGGGATGGGAGCAATACGGGGTGGGTGTGGTGTCTGTGTGCCAGTCTGGCAAAAGGTGTGTCTGTGTGCTCAGTAGGCGGCACTGAGGACATGCCCCATACTTTTTGGACTGTGGGCAAGGAAGACGGGTGTGCAGGGGTGGAGGCAAGCCCTGGAGAGGTGCTGGGGCTGAGGGGGTGGGAAGGGGGCAGACGGAGAGGCTTGGGTCCTCTTTAACTCAGGAAGAACTTCCAGGGACTTGTTTGTTTGAGCAAGGGCGAGGGGCCTTCTCCATCCTTGACCCCGGCTGGGACCCTGCACCTTCATCACTGCCTTCCACACCCCTCCACCGGTCCCCTCACCCACCCGAGTGTTTACTGCTCTCCCACTCCACTGCCCTCCTGGACACCCAGGCTGGCACCGGTCACCAGGACTCCCCTGTGTTTACCTTGGGGTGGCAGCTGCTCCCTGGGCACATTGTCAGCAGCTCAAAACCACCAGCCGCTCCAAGGGAGAAAGATGAGGCCCACTACCCCAGTCAAGAGTGACAGTCCCTGACAGTCGCTGTGAGTCAACCAACTCCATGGCAGTGAGTGTTTTTTTGCAGCTAAACCCATGGCCTGCGAGTTGACCGCTGTTAAAAATGAAGCCATCTATTTTGTTGTTGTTGTAAGTCTTCCTTGGGAACAAAGTGGGAGTTGGTACACATCCACACCACTCACATGCATGTGACTCAGCTCCCCCTGCACTCCCTCCTGGGACCATCACAACCCGCTTCCTCCCTGTGCTTTCTGACACCCCCCCACCCCCCACCCCCACCTTCTCTCCAGGCTGGCCACTCTAGACTGGAGGGTGACAGAGGGCCCTGGTCTATAGGACCCACTTGTCTTATCGGACTTGTCCGCCTGGTCTCTTGGATGACCCTGAGCTCTGTGCCCCCGTCTCCATTTCTGTCTCCGTCTGGGACCTTCTGGGCGGTCCTTTCTCAAGCGAGCGGTTAGTGGTGGTGGCTGGGCACCATCTGGTGCTTCTGCTCTCGGGGGGGGCGGGCAATGGCCCATTGGCCTCGTTGTTTCCCTGTGTCTTTTGATTCTGGTCACCCTTATGTCCCCTCAACAGGGCGAGTGGAGGCCAGTGGTCGCCAAAGCAGCAGTTTTTATTGAAGGAAGATGAAGCACTAGAAGCCTGCGCCCACGCTCATTCGAGCGGCGTATTTTGTGAGGACTCTCGATAAAAGTACCCCAATGAGAGGGAATTTCTCAGCAAGTAGTACAGGAATCCCAGGAATGGACAAGGGAAGGGTTACTGCGTGGTTTACAAAATCGCGATTTCAACCGCTCCAGGAGCCTAGAAACGCTATTTTCTTGGTGGCTACGTCAATTCCAGCGCCATAAATCAGTGGCTGTTCCCGGGGCCAGTCTGAGCGGAGGCGATCCCTGGGGTCCCTGTGAGAGAGGGGAGTGTGTGGGGGAGCCCCCAGGCTTTCTGAGCTGCACTGGCTCCGGACAAGCAGCAAACAGCCCAAACGGCGTCCAGCCTGAATTGGGGGCTGCAGCCCTTCCCTCTGCCAGGTGCATTATATTTAAGGGCTAATTTTTTTCAGTCTTCAGTGTTTTCTTAAAAAGCAAATATGTCACTTTGATAAATAAGGTGGAACTGACCCATGTATTTCTCATACCTCCCATGTAAATCATGGTGCTGGAGAAGAACATGGAAAGTACCGTGGACTACTAAACGTTCAGACCCATCTGTGTTGGAGGAAGTGCACTCAGAGTGCTTGTTAAGAGGCCAAGAAGGTGAGGCTTTGTCTCACGTCCTTTGGACATGTTGACGGGAGAGACCAGTCCCTGGAGGAGGACATCGTGCGTGGTAAAGTGGAAGGGCGGCGACAAAGAGGAAGGTCCTGAAGGAGTGGAGAAGGACACAGTGGCTGCGACAGTAGGCTCAGCATTAGAAAAACCGTGAGCCTGGCAAAGGCCGGGCAGTGTTTTCATCTGCTGTGCGTACAGTCAGTATGGCACCTATAGGGGTTACACAAATTCATGTCAACTTGATATATAGAAGTGGAAGGGTGGAGTCTAGCCTGTCAATCAGGTCACAACCTGGTAGTGCCTCCTTGTGGGCATGGCCTTCTCATAAGGAGGGCCCTGGGAACCTCCCTGCCCACTTTGCTGTCACCTTGTTAATGAGTCACGCAGGGACCTGCCAGAGCCCTGGAGATGCATCCACCTCCATTGGATCCACAAGACTTTGCACCCACCGGCCTGTGATTTTCCTGCATTCAGCATCACTGCTTGTGACTGCGTGAGTCTGAAGTAGGACTTGTGGACTTGAGTTGGACTGGGCTGGGATGTTTTCTTGATATGCAATTACTTCCTGATAGAAAGCTCTTTCTGACGCAGAGATGAATGTCGCTGGGTTTATTTCTCTCATCACCACAGCCTCACACAGCCCCCAACAGCAACAGCATGTGATTGGAAAAGCTGAACAGTGAAAAAAGACCAGAGGATCAATGCATTTGTATGGCAGTGTTGACAATGTTCATTGAGCAGACTATGGACTTGCAGGAGGACCAAAAATTCAGTCTGAAGAAATAGATCCAGAATGCTCCTTAGAGGCAAGGACAGAAAGATGTTGACTTTCTTCCTTTGAACATGTCATTTGGAAAAGACCAATCTCTAGAAAAGGACATCATGGCCGGGGGCCAGTGAAAACAAGGGAGACCCTCCCCCGTGAGATGGACGGCACAGTCACCTCAACAGTGGTGAGCTCTCGGTCCGCGGAGCTCTCGGTCCGCACCACTGCCCACTGCAGCGTCTGGGACTTGTTCTTCTTTCTCCAGCTTGGAAGCCCTTCAGCTATCGGGCGTCTTGTCCTGCCTGCAGGTCATCGTCATCAGAGGCGCCCAGGGAGTAAGATAGGCTGACTGTGTCCCCCAAGATCTTGTGGCCAAGGGGCCAATCCAAACCATTGGAGATGTCCCCCTGGCCAGAGCACTTCTACACAGGGTGGTCAGGAAGGAGGGAGGACAGGGACTCCTGGGGCTGTTTCCTCAGCCATGGTTCCTGGCAAGTACTGCAGTTGTTGGTCAACTCTCTGTGTACCATGTTGTTGACTGTTAACTGCTCATCCCACTTCAAAGCTCAGAAGTCCATTCCAACAGGGGCAACGTCCTCAATAGAAGGTGTCGTCAGAGCCAGACTCTCGGTGACCGGTGCAGGTGGGGGGGCCTCAGCACAAGGGGTCTTCTTTTACCTGGATCCACAAGCAACATCCGGGGTAATACTATCTTTCATAAGCATTCATACCAAACGAGCCCCAAGGAGTTGGAAACAGAGTCCAGAGTCCAACTCCTGAGTCCAGGAGTCCAGACGACAGCCAGCTTCCCTCTTCCTGCAATCCCGTCCCTCACCTCTTGGGCTTCTGCGGCCACCTCGGCCGCCCACAGAACTCACGAAAGTTTGAGGGAAAGTCTCGCAAGGTGGTGGGCCCAGTTCAGTCCAAAGAAGGTCAGGCAGGGGCAAACCAGATGCTCTGGCCAGAGGGTGCACTCTGCCCCTGGCTCTTCCTGCTTCCCAGAGGGCTCCTAGCACACACAGCAGGATGGCAATGCAGGGATGCCTGTTTGCCACAATTCACAGGTGAGCCCTTATCGCTATCTTTCCTCCACCTTCTTGCCAGACCCTTCCAGGGAAAGGCCCTTGGTGGGAGCCAGATGAGGGAACTCACTGCTCCTGCAACCTGCATGCAGGCAGCAGTCCAACAGTCAACCCACTCTGCCTCGGGCCAGTCTCCCAGTGAAAAGTCCAGCTGTCACACTAAGGGTGAAAGTGCACCTGACTCAAGCCGTGCTGTTCCCAAGCACCTCCTGAACGGGCAACACCTGGCGAGGGTGTAAGGAAGACCGAAGCAGTGTTGATGCACTTGAATGTCGGTGCTGGCAACGAACACTGACCATGCTATGGACTGCCAGAACAAGCCGCTCCGCCTTGGAAGAGGTCTGGCTGGGGGTGTTCTCTAGAAGTAAAGACTAGTGAAAAGTCAGACACGTTGTCAGGAAGGACCGGTCCCCAGAGAAGGACGTCACACTTAGCAAAGGAGAGAGAGGGTCAGGGCAAAAGAGGAAGCGCCTCTGGAGATGGGTTGACACCATGGCTGCAACAATGGGTTCCAACCCAGCCAGGGACCTGCCGATGGCACAGGGCCAGGCAGGGCCTGCCTCCCTCTCAAAGGACTCAGCCTTCCCTAACAGCCACCACGGGCAGCCTTCTCCAAAGTCCGGATCCAGCCATGCCCGCATCCGAGTTCTTTCTTCTGCCAACTTTTAAAAGTGTCAGTTCTTTGAAAGATTTCTTAAGCGCATTGCCTTGACATCATACACAGTAAACTAAACATCGTTGCTGTTAAGTGCACACGTCTAGTCAGCTCTGACCGACAGCCAGGCCAGTGCACACCAGAAGGACACAGGGCCCAGGCCAGTGCATCCTCACAGGGTTCTGATATTCGAACCACCGTCGCAGCCATAGCGGCCACCCAGCTCATCAAAGGCCTTCCTCTTTCCTGCTGCCCCACCACTTTGCCAAGCACGATGCCCTCCTCCTGGGACTGGTCTCTCCTGACAACATGTCCAATGTACATGAGATGAAACCTGGCCGTCCTTGCCCCTAAGGAGCATTCGAGGTGATTCTTCTGCTGTACTTCTACCAAGGCCGACTGTTGGTTCGTCTGGCAGCCGCGGGACTGTCAGTGTTCGTCACCAGCACCAGGGTTCAAATACATGGGTTCGTCTTTGGTCTTCTCGGTCAGTGTCCAACTTCCACGTGCCAGTGAGATTATGGAAAATATACTGTATTGTGTCAGGCACACCTCCATCCTCAAAGCCACAGCATTGCTGTGCACTCTAAAGACGTCTTGTGCAGTAGCTTTACCCGACGCAGCACACCCTGAGTGCTGTTTCCAGGAGCTCTAGGGGTGGATCTGAGCAAGATAAAACCCCTGACAAAACCTCACCTATCTCTCCATTTACCCTGATGTCGCCTGTTGTCCGGTGGTGAGGCTGTTTGTCATCTTTACATTGAATTGTAATCCAGACTGAACCGAGGAGGGTGGTGTCCGAGACACCAGTATTGACGTTTCACCTCAGGAACTCCTCTCCCCAGCCCCGGAACCTGGAGCTGGTGACTCCTTCTCCCACATGTGGGTTGGGGTCTCCTACTTGGATGTCTGAGGAGGCTGGCGGGCATGGCCACTCTAGGAATGGGGGGTCCACCATAAGAGAGAGTGACTGTGGGGTCCCCCACCCCGTGGTGCAGACTCATGTAGGCCACTGATCTGTTGTTACCAGGGCATCCGGTTGGCTCTGAATCCTGGTGACCACCACCCCCCCAGTGGAGAGGGACAAGTGACTGGTCCCATGTCATCTCCTCGGTGGTCGGCACAGTCCAGGCCCTAGTCCTCGGAGCGCCTTCTACTCCAAGGAGCCAGCTGGCCAGCACTATGTCTTTGGGGAGTCCACAGGGTGTGGACCGGCTAACTTTCAGAAGTAGGTCACAAGGCATTTCTTCCTCCAAAAAAGGAGAGAGGCAAAAACCTAAACTCCCGCCATCTTTGAGAGGGTCCTGACTCAGTTCAACCCCGTGGGTTTCCATGGCCGGGAGTCTCTCCGGGAGCAGGCTGCCTCCTCTCTCTCCTGAAGAGCGGACAGTAGTATCAAACCACTGACTTTGTGGTTAGCAGCACAGTTCATAGCCCACTGCGCTACCAGGGAGGGCTGTGCCCACCAACCCAACCCGGTGTGGCCACATTCACCCTCCTGGTCTGCAGACATGCCTGGGACAGAGCGTGGGGCCGCCTGGCAACACACAGCAGCCAGCCAGCACCCCAAGGCTCGTGGGCACAGTGTGCCTGTCCCACCCCGCCCTTGGTGTATGTTACCGAAACGGGTCCCCCCACCCACCCCCAACTCGGCCTCCAACAGCCTCTGCTGATGACAATGTGGGGTTCCTGTGCGAGGTGAGGGGACTGAAGACCCAGGGACCCCCACACAGACTGGTCAGCACCCACACCCAATGTCCGACTGATGGAGAAGCTGGAGGGCAGGGTTGCACTGCCCCTAGAGGGGTCCTGGGGCCCCCACCTTGCAGAAACACACTCCCTTGTCTGTCCTGCACAGAGTGGACCACAGGCTGGGCTTGCCAGCCTGCCCCCTGGTGCCAGCAGGAAGGCTCCCTCCATGTTGTGAAGCCCGCCCCCATTTCCCCCGCGTCTCACCTCCCACAGGACCCTGATTTTCCCCCTGCTGATCCGAGGCGGCAAGCCCACGCCGCTGTCCACCTTCCTGATGGCTTTCCTGTTCTGCACCCACAACGGCTACCTGCAGAGCAGGTACCTGAGCCTCACCAAGTATCCTGACCACTGGACCACCCAGCCCCACTTTCTGGCAGGTGAGTGGAGACACTGGGGATCCCGGGCACCCTCATCGTCTCTCTGAGTTTGGGAAGAAAGCCCAGGTCCTGGCATCCAAAAGCTGCAGGGGTGAGGGAGGTGGGGCGGCAGCAGCAGTACTTGTCACGGGCGGTCCAACTGTCCCCAGGGGGCCCAGACACAGGGAGATCGGCCATGAGTTACTTGTTTGCCATCCCCTAAAACTCACTGCCATCAGAGTCAGACTCACCCCAGAGCCGGCCCGGAGCGTCTCAAACAAGGATGTGCACCTAGACAGGCTCAGCCAGCCTCGCCTCTCTCTGGCAGGGCCGCTGAGCGCATCACCACGGTGCTGTTGTGACTCCTGCCCGGTAACGTGATGAGCATAAGTGTGTACTTAACCACATAAAAAGTGTGTACCATGTCACGTAAAAAGCATGTTTGCTGCATCCAGCTATGTGGACTCCTCATGACCCTCCAGGCTGGAGCAGAGCCTGCCCAGCACGGTCACCACAGCTGGAAACCTGCAGAGGCAAGGATGGTGAGACTTCTTGCATACCTGGGACCCGTGGCTTGGGTCAGGCGCACCTCAGTTCTCAAAAGGACATCCTTGCTTCCCAAACCCTTGAGAGAGGTCCTGTGCAGCACACGTACCAAGTGCCATGCGCATCACCTGACCTGATGGCTGCTTCCGTGAGCATGGATTGTGGGTCCCAGGAGGATGAGATCTTTGGCCACTTCAGTCTTTTCTCCCTTCTCCTGATGAGGCTCTCTGCTCCCTTAAAGGGTGACTATCTCGGAGACCAACGGGGGCCATCCTGCCCTGTCCTGCCGGGTCTTGGTGAGTCCGAGTGGACTGGACGGCTGTGGGTTTCGTTGGGTGGGTCAGGGGAGACCACCTACTTCGCCGTGGAGAGTTGGGACCGTGAGAAGGTCCAGCACTCTGGGTACTTTGTTGATGACACAACACTGTGACCCATCACGTCTGTCCCGAGAGCAGTGACCCCCAATACCAAGAACTGTTGAGACAGGAGGGTCAGTGTTCCCTATCAAATGAGGCCAGCTGAGGACACACAGGCTCTCCTCTGGCTCCAGACCCTGTGACGCCAGGAAACGTGAATCCAGGTGGCTGCTTGCCCAGGGTCCAGATGACCCAGGGGCCGGCCTGCTCTGCCCCTGAGGTCAGCAGGGGCAAGAAGCACTGCCTTCACTCACAGGCAGTGAGCAGCCAACCCCACAGGCCCCCAGGGCAGGACGGGGCCCCCTGGCAGATGAGGAGCAGGAGGGCAGGAAGCTGCATGGCCCATCCCAGGTCTGATGCTGGTGGCCAGTGGGGTAGATGCTGACAGAAGGCGATCAGCAAGAACCCACCCCCCATCCCCAATCCAGACTTGTGTCTGCCACACTGGTGGCCGATTGTTACAGCCGTCTTCTCTGGGGGAACCTTTTTCGGGGGGGGGGGTGCTTCCAATGAACGGCAGCCAGGGCTTTGGGTCCTTGAGGTGTGCGGATAGCATCAGGCCGCTGGCCGGGAGTGGGCCCCACGCAGGACAGAGGGCCTTGCCCCTGGGATCAGGCTTGCACATGGCGAGCCACCGTGTGCCCAGGAGCAACCACCACTACACCGACTCCTCAGACCGTGTGCAGCTGGCAGCGAAGGCATCTTCTGGTTCTTCAGGCACGGACAGGCCCAGGCTTGCTTCCCTTCCTCTCGTGTGTCATAGGTTTTGTTTGGAGACAAATGTGAAATTGCAGTCGCCCCTCGGTATCCTGAAGGAAACCCTGGTGGTGCAGTGGTGAAGCATTGGCCTGCTAACCGCAGGGCCGGCAGTTTGAAACCACCAGCCACTCCTTGGGAGAGAGATTGAGGCTTTCTGCTCCTGTAAAGATTTATAGGCTCACAAACCCACAGGGGGCCATTTGACCCTGTCCCATAGGGACGCTGTGGGTAGGCAGGGGGTTTCTCCGTGTCCTCGGGCGTCTTGGTGCCAGGACCCCCACAGATACCAGAATCCATGGACACTCCGGGCCCTTGGATAACACGGGATCATGTCTGCACACGCCTACGCACACTCAGCACTTCAGTCACCTCCAGGGACTTGTAAGACAAAGTGAGGTGTCTTCAGAAAGTCCCTAGGAAAAGTCCCTTGTCTTTTTTTTTTAATATTATTTTGGGGAGCTCTTATCAAGATTATAACAATCCATAATTCAATTAAATCAAGCATAATTGTACAACTGCTGCCACCATCACTTTCAAAACATTTTTTTCTTCTTAAACTCTTTGATATCTGTTCCCCTTTATCCCCCTCCCCCCCCTTAACCCCCAGGAACCTGTATTATTATATTACATATTATTATTATTTTTCCCGGTATGTCACACCATCCAATGTGTCCGTTCACCTACAGTTCTGCTCTTCGTTCCCCTCGAGTGGGGTAATACAGTCATTTCTCTCAGTTCTCCCTTCCTCACCCCCAGCCCCCACCCCGCCTCTTCCCATACCCTCAGGGAATCATTACTCCCGTTACTATTTCTGGAGGGTTTAGCTATCTTGGACTTCATGGATCTTAATTATACAAATGAACATACACAGATCTAACAAGATGCACGAGGTGAAACTAAGACCATAAATGTAAGGGGAGGAAATATTAAAGAGCTAGAGGATAGTCATGTGTTTCATCAGTGGTATACTTCACCCTAGATGTATCATCCCTCGTGTGGCCCTTGTGTGAGGGACCGTCCAATTATCCTGCAAGTAGGCTTTGGGTCTCCACTTTGCCTTTGCATCCACCTGATTGCTTGTTTTTGAACTTCTGATACCTATGCCTGTTGACACCTCATGATCACACAGGCTGGTGTGCTTCTTCCATGTGGGCTTTGCTGCTTCCTTGCTAGATGGCCACTTGTTTCACTTCAAATATTTAAGACGCCAGATGCAATATCTTTTAGTAGCCAAGCACCATCAGCTTTCTTCACCACATTTGCTTATGCACCCATTTTGTCTTCAGCAATCGTACTGGGAAAGTTAGTATCATACAGTTCCATATTATTAGAACAAATCACTCTTGTACTGAGATAAGATTTAAGTAGAGGCCCAAAGTCCATCTGCTTCGTGTGTGTGTGTGTGTGTGTGTGTGTGTGTGTGTGTACACAAATACACCCAGCTTGATATATTTACATATATACATAGCTATATTTATTTCTAGATATATAATTTTTACTTTCTTGTCCTTTCCCCATTTTCTTTTTTCTTTCCTCCTGCCCCACTATCATGTTTACCTACCATTCAACTCTCAGCAATTCCTCTCAGGTACATTTCAATTGATCAAACACCACCAGGAACACTACTCCCTCCTCACCTTCAATTTCAGGTCCCTTGCTATTCCCCTGTCCCTGTCGTTACTGACTCACCACTCCCCTCACCCACGTCCTCCTCTCCCCTGCCTCCCCCTCCCCACCCCAGTCATCAGTCCAGTGGCTGTCTCCTTGGGATTACTTACCCTGCCTATCTTATATAGATAGATACCAAAAAGAAAACAAAAGAAGAGAGACCGTACATATAGTTCCAACTCTTAACTGCTGACCTGGCCCAGAGTAGACAAGCGTCTCTCTGTCAAGTAGGACGCAGGTCCTGTTGTCACCCATCAGTCCAGTCCCCTTTCCTCCAGGGACCCCTGTCCCAGGGCCCGCGCACCGAACTCAGACCCGTTTAGTCCTCAGCATTCCTGTCCAAGAGGCAAGCTTTCTACAAGACCCTCCTGCTCTGCCTGCTGTCAGAGATGGAGCAGTCTAGTGCCCCACCCCCACCCCGTTAAACACCTTTAGACTTTCAGTGTGGCCCCTGTGAGTACCCCCAACCAGTTCAGATGGGGTGCCAAGCGCTGCCCGCCCAAAACCAACCCCTGAGTCAGAAGCCTACAATCGGGATTCCTCAGGGACTTCCTGGCTTTGCTCCATTGCTGGTCTGATGCGCCCCCCCTCTTGGCTTGCCCCCATGGGGGCGGGTCAGACTGGCTGCTCTCCCAGAACTGTATTTTCAGGGCTGCCCTCTGTAATGCTGTTGTTGAGGGAGGGGATGTCAGACCTCCAGCTGAGGCCAGCCTGCTGTGCTCTCTGTGAGCAAGCTGCTCTGAGCAGGGACATCGCCCTCATGGCTTGGTGCTCCGGAAGGAGGTCTGCGCTCCCTCTCCCTTTCCTGTGGAGACATAGACAACACCCTCCCCTTGGGTGGATGAATCCCTGGTTGGGGGGAGGGGGAGATGCCATTCCACACAGGTGCTGTCTGCATCTTTTTTCTTTTGTGTGTGTGTGATGAATGCATCATTGGGTTTGGTCTGGCTCTTGCCAGAGTCTCTGGTCCTCAGCCCAGGAACTGTGCGATATGTGCTTTTTCCCCTGGGCTGGTTCTGCTGTTGGAACTGACCTCCGTGGACACATGCTGTACTTGTCCTTCTGTGCTTGGCTAACTTCACTCACCATGAGATCCTCCAACTCTTTCCACGAGACGAGGTGCTTCATCATTTCAGCACTGTTTTTTTATTATTTTTTTCTTAAAATCATTCTATTGAGGGCTCATAAAACTCTGATCACAATCCATCCATCCATCCATTGGTCACGCACATTTGTACATTTGTTGCCCTCACCATTCTCTAAACATTTGCTTTCTACTTGAACCCTTGGTATCAGCTCCTCATTTCCCCCTCTCTCCCCACACCCCTTCCCTCATGAACCTTTGATAATTTATAAATTGTTATTATTTTTGTCATGTCTTACATGGTCCAACATCTCCCTTCACCCACTTTTCTGTTGTCCATTCCCCAGGGAGGGGGTTATATGTAGATCCTTGTGATCGGTTCCCCCTTTTCACCCACCTTCCCCTTCCCTTCCTGGTATCACTACTCTCATTATTGGTCCTGAGGGGTTTATCTGT